ATATAATATATATTGGGGGCACTTGGGACGGAGTTTGTATCATTTATCGTGTAGAGTGCAACAGGATGCTTAAGTTAATATCTATAGAGCCCACGTATTCTTTGCATGAAGTACACACATATTAATATAAATTAATCTCAATAAATTATGATAATATAAATAAAATTTAAAATAAATTTATCGTCCTGAATAACGTGTTTCAGAATGTAAGCTATTCGAAATACACGTAGCAATTAAACATTCCACCAGACCAAACACCGGAATGTTCATTGAGAGGAATTCCTCTTCATTTAATATTACGTCGCACGCAGACAAAAAACTAAAACTTAATTATCGAGCGGGCTGGCGTAGTNGAGAAGCGGTGGAGCCAGGTAAAGCCGACCTAGCTGCAAGCTCCACGACCAACGACGGCAGTGGTGAGAACGACAAAGGAAGGAAGGAAGGAAGTTAAAGAGTAGCGACCCACCGGTGTGGCTAGAGGTCACGCGGAGGGGGACGGTAAGACAACGGCTATCCAGACTCACCTTTTGCGTGGATTTCCTTAGTTCGTTCAGAAACAATCGCGGGATTTGTTTCAAATCCATTCCGATTTATCAGTGATCCTACCGTCTGACACTATATGTTCCTGATAGGAGTGTAGCAAGGTAACCAGCAGAGGATTAAGACTTCACTGACAGACACGCCAGCAGGCTGAATCTAGAGACAAGAATGGTCACGGAAATTTCCTTTTTGGTGATGACAAGAAGCGAAGAAGAATTTGGCACTTGTATCAGTTGTCATCGAGAGAGCTTACTTGTAGGAATCTTTGGTCATGTTGAACAGCCTTCTTTTTGCGTTATCAGTGGAGGCCAGAATTTGCAATATTTGTGTATCTAACTACGTTAATTTCAGCAATTACGTAAATGAATGCTGCATTTCAGATCTGCCTATGTGAACTGAATGTAGTAAACAGGTAATGAAACAAATTATGACTCGCAAGTACCGAATTATTTCGAACATAAGGCTATTTCCCCCTCCACTATACTGCATCTTAGAGGCATTTATATATTTTTGGGTCTTTAAGAATATGAAGAAAATGATTATGATAACTGCTAACTCTATTGATATTTGTGAAAAATATTTAAGATATTAAATTTTGAATGTATTATTTCTTAATACGATAGTTTTATTTATATTTGCTTGCAATGACATAAAACGCCTCTGTGGTCCGGGTTCGATTCCTGGCGCTACCAGATTTTTCTGAGAAGTAGTGGGTCTGGAACGGGGTCCACTCAGCCTCGTGATGATAATTGAGGAGCTATTTCAATGAAATAACGGCTCCGGTTTAGAAAACGAAATTAACGGCCATGGGGATTCGTTGCGCTGACCACGCGACACTCTCTATCCGCTAAAGTTGGCACTAACTTCACCGACAAGCGGCGGTCGCTCAGTCGGTATAGTTCGCTTGCGAAGTAAAATCACGGAGTTTTGTTTGTTTGCAATGACATGAGATTACTCAGGACAGTATTGCAGCTGCTGGCTGCTCGAGGCCGCAGTGTCAATGCGCAGCAAATGTTTGCTACTACGAAGAACTGTGCCGTCATCGTTGTAAAGAATTCGTGTACGTGTATGAGATAAATTTCATTCTTTTCCCCTGTTTCTTTGTCATATTTTGAGAGTTTCAGATTATCTTTGACGCTGAAGCGTGCAGTATTACAAGAAAGCACACTGTTAGACAAAGCAAAATGTGATTCATAGTCTCTCTAACCTCACAGTGAGAACATGTGGGGTCTGAAGTGTGCTGCCACTTAACGACGATTTCGTGAAACATGTCAGAAGTTGCCAAGACTGCTCACGTAGAAGGCAGATAGGAGCTCGCATGTAGCAACAATTGACATGGCCGAACACGTCTTGGCAGCTACTGAAATATATCCTTAGGGCGGTATCGCGACACCGACACTAATGCCATGGCGTCCAGCTGCCAGACAAGCTGCCCGCTTCGATGCCAGTCGATCGAACAGCAGTTTCAAGACGAATAATAGCAGTAATTGTGTACTTTCAAGTTTTTGGACAACATTGCCCGTATTAGCTTCACATCATGGTGCTTAGTAAGTGTGCGTTTCTGAGATGTGACCCCGTGAGAGATAAGATTGCACACCTCAACACATTTTTTAAATTCACATTAAAGGCGCTTCTCACCGAACCAATAGCAGTTAATAAGTGGAACGGCAATCATTATTTTATAATGAACTTAATAATACACTTAAGATTGAGAAAGCAGATTGGAATTATTTCTGTACATACAAGTTTTACTGAAATCGTGAACAGAATTACAGTCTTATTTAAATTATTATTTTTCATTATTACACATACTTTTAATATTAAGTGGTGATATATAGATTATTTGGTCGGTCACGCTAGCCGAGCGGTCTAAGGCGTGCACTGTCTTCGATCGCTCGAAAGCCGGGATCGTGGGTTCGAATCCCACTCAGGGCATGGATGTTTGTGTGCGTTTTTTTGTGTTTAAGGCCTTGCGACGAGCTGATTAACCGCCCAAGGGGTCCTACCGAATGTGTAAGATCTAGAAAAACCGAAGTGAACGGAGAAGTTCATGGAGGTAGGCCTAAGCCCACTGGGGCTGTAGGGCCAAGGAAAAAAATACAGATTATTTAGAATGTTAAGAAGAAAGTGACACACGTATTAAAGACGAGCAGCGACACACACACAGGGAGCCTGCACTGAACAATACATGAACGGTGCTGAAAACAATAAACAGCCGCTGCAGCACATGTAGACAATAGCAATTGTCCCTGTTATTTAAAACTTTAAATTTTAGAAATTTTAAATTTTTAACTGTAATTCGAAAATCAAATTGAGGAGCGTGTGTTGGCGAGATTGTAAAACAAAACTGACAGGCTGGTGTTTTAGATTTTGGACTGTGTGCAGTGTGACAGCTACGTAGTGAAAAATACACCTGATGATGGCCAATTACGGCCGAAACATGTAGTGTAGAGGAAGAAAAGGCAAATATCTACAACCAAATAAATTGTTGCATTCACGACGGCATTTGTATTATTATATATAGAAGTTAAGAAGAAGCTTACGAATCAAGTTGCCATATTGGAAAGTAGCTCCACAAATAAAGCCATAGAAACACTTCTTACCTAATTCTTTCTTTCCTACTGCAGATTCAGTTATTCAGTAGAGAGGGGGGTGGGTTTCCCCATGCACCGCGACTAATAGTCTATTGTACGTCCCCCTTTAATTTCTACTGTCGCCATACCCTACCGATACTGGTGCCCTCTATCTCCCCTTTCTGCCAGCGAGGTCGGCCCTCTACTGGCATTGGTACCCGATAACTTTCCCCATCTACCGGATGAATTGGAAACTACTTGGGCGGGAAACATTTTGCCTAATTTTGCCTAATTACGTGCCGTAAATCTAAATTTCAGTCAGCATAGGGAAGGCTTAAGGGCTGGGCGACCCGGGTTCGATTCGCGGCAGTGGGAAGATTTTTCTCTTCTCCACAGCGTCCAGACTGTTTCTGGGGCCCGCCCAGCTTCCTATCCAATGGGTAAGGGTGGCGATTTCACCGGGATTAAAGCGGCCGGGGCGTGAATCTAACCACTCACCTGCGCCTAGTGCCGAAGTTAAAAATGGTGGAGCTATACCTCTACTCCCCCATATATGTCTTCATGGCATACTGATTAATTAATTAAGCCGTCGGGTAACCTAATCTTTACCAGTCTGGTTCTAGGATAATCAGAAAATTTTAGTAGCTCAGAAGAATCCTGCGAGACTATTACAAGGCTATGAGTTCCCTTCCATTTCGTAACAATGTTACGGTCGTCATTACAGTTACGAGTTCAATGGAGGATCAGTGGGATTCCCCGGCCCTACACACACACACACACACACGCATGCGCGCTTTGAACTGAGCACTTCTCTCTGAATACCAATGAATAATGGGACTTGTATCAACTTCCATTCCACGAGCCACGATTCATTTCGTTGTTTAAACTTCAAGGATCTTATAAATGTTTATATTTATCATAACAGTTTCGTTTAACGGTCATAATGTGCAGCACACAACGCACGAATGTTGTTGGAGTTTTACCACTTGGAAAGACTATTTGACTTACACAAATACCTGTGAAACAGGCTTTAATTACTGAACTGTACACTGTAAAGGAAAAAAAAAGTAAGGCTATCCCTGTACCAGGCCGTGAAGGCCCATACGGTTGTGAGACGTTGAGGGTCCCACATTATCTAGACAATCAGCTCAAAGATGGCGGTAAGGTTGTCAGCCTTACGCGCCGGCCCCGCTTTACTCCCCAGGAAAATTATTTAATTCCTGGTACTCATTTCTGTCAGAGGCTGAGTAAACCGCAGGGCATAGTACGGCTGGAAGGATTAGGTCAACTGAAAAATTCAATGACCTCATCGGGATTTGAACCCGTGACCTTCCGGCTTGTAGCGTATCACCTCAACCACTACGCTGTCAACTTAACTTCTGGTACAATACCACAGAATCTGAAGGAAATCATTTGAATTACCTGAATAGTAGTGTTCTCCCCTCTCGTGGAAATGGTGGTGTCTCATGCTTACGTCTTCATCTCCAGGTTGGTGCAACTGTGGGATCAGGTTCAACCACACCGCCATCTTGTGACCTCGGTAGTGGCTTTTTATCTTGGGCTTCAGAGCTACCAACAGAAACAGGAATGAACAGTACTGTAATACAGCACAACTTGAAAAAGAATAATCCTCCTTTAACGCAGTCCAGACAAAAAAAAAAGCATTGAATCGGCACCATAGACAGACTAAAACTCAAGTTGTCTCGAAACGAGCATGACTGCAATAGTTTCCTCTGCATCTGAATGGCCACGACGCCCACGACCCCCATGACGACCTGACTGCAAATGCGCCGGAAGTAGTGCGCAGAAGCAAGACCTGAGCGGAGATGAGTCAACCAGAGCGGAACCAGTGTGCGCCCCAAATTGAGCGTTTTAATTCCGTATCAGAACTCCTTGTTATAACAAACGCACGTAGGCTTCATTCAGATTAATAGCATGGCGTTAAATTTTATAGGACGAAGCTTATCAAAACAATGTTTTAAAGTATCTTCTTACCTCCCAGAAAACACACTTCATCTTTATCACATATATGTATGAACTGGCTAATGATGTTCTGTGAAGCATTCGATGTTTGTTTTGAAAACCAAATAAATCTGACAAACAAATTGCACTTGTAAATGCTGTATTATTCGCCTTCTTCTTTGTCTTACTATTATTACTACTGTTGTTGTTGTTCTTGTTGTTTAATTTATCATTATTCGCCCAGCCGTGTTGCTGTACGGAAGTGTTTATTCAGTGCCCGCGTGTTTTCTATCAGTGTGTTCTGTGAACCCTGCAGGTACAGAGAATGCTAAAGGATGGAAACACAACCATGCGTACATTTCTTTCTGATGCTAGGAAGAAATCACTAAATTCGCCGACAAGCGGCGGTCGGTCTGTCTGTATAGTTCTCTTGCGAACTAAAACCACGGAGTTTTTTTTTATTAGCAGTTACAGAGTGATTTATATTTTTACAAATTCTTCCGAACTATCCGAATTTGTCATTCATGGCCATGTTTCATACCATTTAACTTTTAATTAATTCCCCTCCCACTTAGTTTCATCATCACAAATTTGGTAACGTAGTTTGATTTAACTACATTTTTCGTCGACTCTCATCAACAAATTGATACCGCGCTTTTATATATTACGTATTAACCGGTCTTTAAAGTTTGTTTTCATAACTTGCGCCTTTATAAGCTCCGAGTGTTTGAAATTTGTGATGGGTATGTGAGACTGTTTCGTAGTTATTTAAACAACAGAAAACCTCAAGTCTCTCTTTCTGAAATGTTTCCATCCATTTTTGGAGAGTTCGTTTGTGTACAACAAGTATTTGTTTTTAGGTCTCTCCTTTCTACCATATTCACTTATGACTTCGGGGATGCAGTTAATTATGGTAGTACCTTTTTCTGATGACAAAATGACTAATTTCCTTACCATTATATTTGCAATCTACTTATAATTAATATTATTATAATTTTATGAACTCAACATCAATAAAAGTGAGATTATCTCTGTCTCAAGAAAATTAACTTTGATCCACGAGTATAAACGTTATCAATGATTTACAGTATAACAAGTACCGGCCATATTAAGAACCTGGTAGTATTTACTCATTCTAAACTCTATTTCCATAACCATGTAAAATATTTGTTTTCTATATTTTCATAAAAACCGCAACATTTTATTTTCCTCCCTTCATTGTTTATACGCGTACAAATTATACTTTATCTTAGTTAAATCTGATCTAAATGAGCCTCTGTTGTTTGGAATTATATTACGAATAGAAATGACAATAAATTGGAATGCATCCAGTAAAATTCTGCAGCATTTAATTACAATCGTTTCTCTCCCCAAATCCACTACCGTAACGCTAATAGTTAAGGGTACTTTAAACTATACACCATACGTAACAAATGTATCATATTGACACTCTTCTAAGTGTTCAAGTTAGCTTAGTTACAAGTTCTGTCCTTCCATTTTCGAAACGGTTGGTCTTCGAGTATCTCAGAGACTTTTCAGTGTTCATTATCAGCTCTTCAAGCAAACATTATCCTTCTCCTAGGTGCGCATAAACTACTTATGTTGTTTGTAGAGACGCTGACATATTTAAAAAAAGTTGTTTCTCTAACTCACATCTTGTAAAGCTATGGTATATTCTTATGTATTAAATAATATTCATATTCATTCTAAGTGTATGCTGTATGTTTTTCTTTCCTCGATTTTTAATTATTGCATAAAATGAATAGAACTGAATTAATATTAACGTAAGCACCTCTTCTTTTGAAAATGATATAAAAAGAACAGCTTTTTCTGATAAGTTTCTCGAAGCAATATGGATTTCATTCACCATAGAATGAACGTCGAACAGAAGGTCCTTTAAGGACTTTCAGTAGTTCAGGTCACGTCTATAACATTTGGTGCCAGAACAGACAGCCGTTAAATTAATGTAAGGAAACTAAATTGCTTACACAATGTCCTGGCTTAGTCAGGATTATTTTAAATTTCCTGATTTAATCGCTGGGAGCATAAAAATATGATAATACCAGTGTTATGGTTCGAGGGTGATCCTTCGTAAATGGTGTATACGAAGGTCACGTAACCAGCCAACGAACTCTTCCAATTTCCGCCAAATCAGCAAACAAATTATACGAATTATCAACAACGATTTTGCCTTCCTATTGTGTTTCCTGCATTTAATGGTTTATGAATAATTTCTAAAACGGAATATAAAATTTTCCACCTCTCACGATTTTGATAAATGTCTAACATTATTCTTCATCGGAATACAGGAAAATACTCGGCATATATATTTAAGAGAAATAATTTATACAATTACAGTTATTTACATCTTTATGAATTATGTTTGAAGGTCACATCGTTAATTTCCTTGACTGGTGTCCAGCAAAAATCTACAAACGTATTTGAATTCCATTTGCTCAGATATTTGTGTTATATTACAGAGGTTTTCGTGGAATCGCCCTCTGCTTGTCGTTCACCTCCCCAAAATTGCAGTATAAAGTTTAAATGTAAACACAAGAACCGTATTTGGGTCCGTTGTTTATCTTCCGTCAAAATTGCAACACTTTTACATGTAGTTATATATGCCTTTAGTGTGACTACTATTTATGATTCTGTATTTCTGTATTTTCAGATAAACAATAGACGCTAATTTAAACAATTGCAACGGGATGCTGAAATACAGAACAAGAACCGTATTTTAAGAGACATGTTGCTTTCCTTGGTGTTTCATTGTTGTCGTTGGTTCTACTCTCGATACTCTGTTCACTTTCGTGGCAATCCTAGTAGCAGCGCAGTCACTTACATATATGGTTCTTCCACGTGCTCTGCGTGACCAATAAGAACTGGTGGAAAATTGTTACGTTTATGTAAAGCAAGAACGTTGAAATTTAGATTTTACGAGCCAATGGCACGTGCCATTCATCTGAATTGAGGTTAAATACTTTATTTTGTGCGTTATATTTACAGTAATCTTTAGATAGTTATAATTATTTGTAGTTACGACTTGTGAGGGTTCAGTAAATCTATTCATCTAAACCAGAACCCATTATTATTCGTCACGCTAACCATGAATACGTGAAAACTGGTGTCAGAAAGTGGTTACGATTGTAAATACATAACATCATTGTCATGTTTCCGGTATTTCTTCATCATCATCATCGTTACGTAAGATAAAACGTAAGATTAGGGCAGCCTGGTAAGAAGAAGAGCGCCAGATCATGCAGGACACTGAAAATTTGGATACCCTTTTTTACTTCTGTTTTTGTAAAAAGTTACCAATTTTCTTTAAGCAGGTTGCTATCTGTAAGACGATGTTCTTTTTTTGGAAACCGTGGAAAATGTAAATGAAATGCATTTTTTGGTCTTTCAGCCATGCTCGAAGATTCACTGCACATAAAATTCAACAGACATTGGGATTCCAAAAGATTTTCTTGATTCCCAATTTTAATTCCAAGTTAAAGCAAGTAGTTGTTCACAATTAGCGGAACAATGTTTTCAGAGAATTTTCAATATTGTTTTACTACAAACATTGCAAAAATTGTCTGGTTCATGAATATATATTTGTGAAACATTAAAACAATAACTTAACACTTCGAAATTCACAACACGAATGAAATGCCTGTACTACAAATTGTATAAAGTATAACACTTAATACTCCGCAATTTTACACATACAGGTAGCTCAGGAAAACTAGGCAATACTGCGAAATTTAGTATAGGAATAAGATTCTAGATTTGCATTCTGAAGGTTCTCGGTTCAAATTTTGGCCTGGACACAAATGCCATCTTGACTGATGATTTTCTTGCGGGTTTCCACAATGTCTCCAGACAAATGCCGGGATCGACTTCGGTTTTGCCAGTACCATTTATTTTCAAATCCGTTTCAATCCAATACACATCAATCATTCTAACATTCGACACAATGTATTCTAGATACTAAAAGCTTTGTAAAATAGCCATAAAGGAGAGGGCAGCTTGAAGCATTAAGTGTGTGACGTCGCACGGCGTGATACTAACAAGTCTCAGCATGCACAAACAGGTAGTCCAGAAGCCAAGTAACGCCGTCGCGGCGCCTGAAGGAAACTTATGGGCCTACTGCTGTACACATGCACACAGTTTACTTAAAGGAAAGCATTCATAGCAATTTTCTGCCTCAATTATCTTTAACATAATTACTTAAACACATTTAATGCAATTCATCTAATCTGACTGAACCCCAAAGGATTCAATAAGATTTTTTTTTTCAAAGGTAAAAATTACTGCAGCCGACAATCGATTCCTGAAACACGGCGGCTGATAGAAAATTTTAGTTACATTTTTATATTTTACAGGAAATTTACCATGAAAAAGAGAAAATTAAATTTGTCGCACTGTCTTACTGAAATTAGCTGACAGAGTATTGTGATGATTATTATAATAATATGTATTAGCCCTTTGATCTTGTGTGACTTAATATATTGAAACTAAATATACCACAACATATTATTTCAATTAGAGCCGGGAACGCGCAGTCGGTATAGCGACTAGCTACGGGCTCGACGACCAAGGGGTCAGAGTTCGAGTCATGG